AAAAAAAAAGATTAGTTTCCCCTGTTTCTGTCATGAGCGATAGAACACTGACACTTAATATTGCCTTTGTATTAGACTTATTTGAAAAAATGAGAAAAAGATGTGTCCAGTGCCTACCCCATACAATTCAGAATCTTTAGGGGGCAAACCTTGGCCATGGTCATTTTGTCCTGATACACAGGACATGTGGCAGGAGGAGGTGAGAGCTGGAGGTCTTGTATCACACAATCCCAAGTTCTAGTGCAGTTTTGATTTTCACAGCCTGCCTTTTTCTTGGGTCCTTCTGAACATTCTTAACTACCTAATCTGTCTTCCTACTGGTAGAGTGAACAAGAGTTGTTCATCTCCCCTTTAAAGAGCTAGATGGTGGAGGTTTAAAGAGATGGAGAACTAGCAGGAGCCAGGGGATGTTCAGAGGTGGAGTATGGATTTTCATCCAGGCCTCCTGACTCCAGCTCCATCCTGCCTCCTCTGTAAAACCCACGAGCTCCAAGCTCTAATGGAATCAGTGACCCATGAAAGCCAATGCCCTCAAGTCTAGGCTGTTTCTGAAAACTGTGTCCAGGAGGCAGGGGGATACATAAGGTGACCTCTGACCAGATTATGGATTTTTTTTTCAATCCATCCCTTTATCTTGGCAGGCTCAGGTGACTCCTTGAAGTGGATCCTTCAACTCTCTGATGGCAAGAGCTAGGCCCCAAGTGATGAAGAGCTGCAAGTCTATGAGCACAAGATGACTCTCCTCTACTTCCTAGTGGGCCAGGGCAGTTTGGAGCAAGTGAAGCTGCTGCTGTCCCATAAAGTTGATGTGGACTGCCAGACGGCGTCTGTCTATACACCACCCCTCCTTGCCCACGATCAGCAGCCTGACCTCTGTGCCCTGCGCCTGGTACACGGTGCTAGTACCAACTTGGTAGATGAGGATGGCTAGGTCCCACTGCATTTTGAAGCCCAGAATAGGGATGACCATATTTCCCATATGCTCCTGAACCATGGGGTCCTGGTGGATGCTCAGGAACATGAGAGCTGGACTCCACTCAGCCTAGCTGCACAGAATAACTTTGAGAATGTTGCATAGCTTCTGGTCTCCTGACAGGCAGGTTTCAACCCACAGGAGGTTTAGGGTAAGACGCCCATCCATGTGTCTGCCTGCTTTGGCTATATTGATCTGGTCAAGCTGCTGATAAGACATGGGCTGAGATGGATGCTCAGCAGAGAAACCTGAGGACACCCCTGCACCTTTCAGGGGCGAAGGGGAAAATGAGAGCCATCCAACACCTGCTAAAAGGTGGGGAATTTCCTGATGCCCTTGACCATGGTGGTTACAGCCCATTGCACATGGCTGTAACCAAGTGTAAGCAACTTATCTTCGAGATGCTTCTCAGATATGGGGCCAGCCTGGAGCTACCCACGCAACAGGAAGGGACACCCGTAAGCCTAGCAACTTACAAGGGTCACATGGAGATCATCCATCTGCTGGACAAGAGCCATGCAGACCTAGATGCTCTTGGAAGAACGCATGGGACTCCCCTGCACATGACTGCCTTCCATGGAGAGGAGGTGGTGGTGGTGTCGCTGCTTCAGGGTGGGGCCAACCCCAATGCTGCTGATCAGTCTGGACTCCTCTCCACATGACAGGGCAGAAGGGGGCCTTCCTGGTCATCATCCACCTTCTGGAACATGGTGCTGATGTCCACGCCTGCAACAAGGTGGACTGGACAGCTGCCCACTTGGCTGCTCTCCAGGGCAACATAACCATCCTTCAAGTTCTGGTCAAGGCTAATACCCAACTGTACATCAAGGATGGTGTTGGCTGCACACCTCTGCAGATGACCCTCTGCAGCCAAAAACAGGGCATAGTGACCTTCCTGGAGGGCAAGGAACCTTCACTAGCCATTCTGGGAGTTTCTGAGCCTGGATCTTAGACAGAAGTTTAGCTGTAACAGGGCCTCTGTGCATGGAAGGAAAAAGGCTATGGAAAGTGAAAGTGGCTTTGGAGAGGCCATTTCCCACCTGCCCATTTGACCTTGAGAGGAACCAGTCTCCTAGGTGACAAAAAGGGGAGAGAGTCCAGTGAGGTTGTTCTGGTGAGCTGGGAAAGCTACAGACTGCCTGGAAAACTGATTTTAGCTACTCTCCAAGTAGTTTCCAGTCAAACCTCATTCTTCCTTCTTTTCAAATGAGCTCTTGTGTCCATGATAAACTTCCTCTCCAGCCTCAAGACTCTACCATGTTTTGTTGCTTGCCTCTGAGTAATGGAGCCCTTGCATCCCAAGAAACCACCCCCAAATAAAGACCTAGAGATAAGGATAGAGGGCTCCTCTCAGCTCCAATTTTGCATTTTAGGTTCTTCACCTTAGACTGGGGCAGGAGAATCAGATGCCTGCTTTACGTAGGGAGCATGCACTTGGAGCTCAGAGGACATGTCTACTCACTGGCAGGCTCCTGCCACTGTGGTGACCATAGCTTCTGGTGGCACTGGTCTCAGTCTCTGGTATTCTATATCTTGGAAGTGATTTTTAAAAATGTGCCCAAACTGTACATATATGCTCATCTATGGGACGCCAATTTCCTGTCTCCAACCCCATGTTTCTCTGTGCCCATTTATATGGTCAGGTTTCAAACCCCATAGTGAATAAAGCTGATGACCTCATTCTCCTAATTAGATATGGACCAGCTGGGTACCCATGGGATCCGGTGGAGTTGTTGTGGTGTGTGTTTTTGTCTGTCTGTGTAGTGTAGTGTTGTGTGTGTTGTATGTGTGCATAATATATGTGTGTGAGCTTACAAGGGAGGAGAGAGAGGGAAACGGAGGGGAGCTGGGTGACTATGTGTACATGCATAGGTGATTTGTCTGGTGTGGACATTGTGCATATATGATACTTGTGTGTGTTTATGTGAAAAGAGGTAGAGCAGCGAAGAGAAACTGCAGATGTATGCATAATGCATGTATACATAGAGAAAGCATCTGTGAATCTATATAAGGGATTAGGCAGGGTATCCAATAGGCGATGGAGGGATAAAAGTGTAATACTTGCATGTGTTTATAATTTGTGTGTAAATACGTGCAAGGGAAGAGGCAGGGCAGCTGAGAGGGAGTTGGTGGTGCAAGGGGGTTATGTGGACTTGGAGTGGAGCTACAGGATCTTTCTTCCTTATCAGCTGCTCAGAGAAGTACTTCCTGTGAACAAATATAGGCTACCCATCCATTGGTCTACCCACCAGTTGTGGGCAGGCTGGGGAAGGGCCAAGGCTGCTAGTATTCACTGTGTGTGTTGGTAGGTCTGGTTCAGTGGTAAGTGGGTCAGTGGCTGTTAGAAGGGTATGAGGTGGGCAGGTTCTCCCCTCTGCCTCATCCCCCCACCCCATCGTCATGCTGGCGTCATCATGGGGTGAAAGATGAGGCAAGGGAGACTTGCTACCCTATGTGGCATTCTGCCTAGGGCTTGAGTTCATTTTGGCAGCCTCACTTTTTGTCCTGGAGTTTCTAGACCAGTTCCAGCTGGGCTCTGAACAGTTTAGGGACAACCAATGGTAAGCCTGGGGGTCAGCGCTTGGCTGGGTTGTGTCCTCAAGAAATAACTATCAAGCTAGACTACACATCAAAATATCCTGATGAGGGATTCTTCAAATATATATGCAACCAGTTAAACCACAGTCAGATCCTGGTGTGACTGAGCAACTTGACTCTGAATGTGGAGCAGCCAGGGCTTAGGGTGACCACCAGGGGGCATACCCAAGGCTTTCTCTGAGCTTTTCTCAACAGAACCATGCCCATGGCACAGGGGAGGTAGGAAGTCTTCCCCTGAAAAGTAGTAAAAACTCCTGGGCTCTGGGACTATTCAACAAATTGTTTATCCCTATTCTATGCCTGCTGCAATTAAGAAAATACCCCTAGTTTTGTCTCCTAAAACAATCAGCAGGAGGAAGGGGAGGGTCAGGTCTGTATGTTCCTCTTGAATCCTAGAATACTGATATGGCTCCGAGTCTAGGATTCTAGAAGAGCCAGAAGAGATGCAAGGTCTGCATATTTATATCTGGGTGGGTCAGGGCAGCATATGTGAATGGTAATGATGGAGCCATAGGACAAGATGGTGCCAGGCTTTTCACAGAAGAAAGGGTGTGAGGATAACCTAGAAGAAAGGTGTTGGGGAAAATGCTTTGGCATGCATTATCCAGTATATGACAAAGGTGTCCTAGAAGTGTGGTCAGGACTGTGCCTGTAAATCCCTTTGTCTCTGATAATCCTGACTTTGCATGGAGGTTCTTAGATCCCTGCTTCTTTGAATCAATTCCTCTCAAAGCTAATAGTGATGATAGATTGGGCTCAGTTTGCTGTCTGCTGTATTCATGAGTTGCCTTAGTCAGACACATACACCTTGAGCTTCATTTGGACACACCTGCCTTTTCAGTTGTGTAGGGATATCTTTAATTGGGTTTTAAGGGGGCAGTCCTTGAAATCGCTGGAAGTGGATCTCTAGTAGATTTCCACTGTGTTCAAAGTGCCTAAGGACAGGAGTCCTAAAAATCGGGCCCTGATATCCTACTGGACACCTCCACATGGGGGTTCTAGAGAACCCTTAAACTCAAATCAGCCTTAAGTGAACATTCCCTTCCCATCCACAAACCCACTCCTCACTCTTTGTCCATATCTTAGTTGAAGATCCCCAAACTCCAAATGTAGGGCTGGTATTTCTAACAGAACTGTAAGGGAGGGAAGAAATCAGTGGGATCTACCTTATTTAGTAGGGTACCACTAACTACTTGTAGGAGTAAGTCCTTGAGATATGGTGAGTGTAAATGAGAGAGCAAGCTTTTATTACCATTAAACTTAAGTAGCCATGTATTCATAGACTGGATAGAACCAGTCTATGAGCTCTCCTTTTTCACCCCTTTCCAGCAGTTTCCAACCTAGGCATTGGGTTGGTCAGAAAGAGCCTCCTGAAAGATGTAAATGTTGGAGACAACATGGATAGAGCTTAGAAGGGCCAGAGGTTAGGCCTGGTATAGGCGGAGGTACCCCATAAGCTCCAGAATGTGGGAGGGACAGATTTATTTCTACAGGCAAATAATGGGATGTATTCACAGCAGGTGAGACTCTGATGTCTACCTTGGGTCTCGCATGCAAGAGGATGTGGAAAACTCCCATCTCTTTCCAAGTAAAGGGTAGATAGACAGAGCCTGAATTTTCAGTGCAATCTGAAGACCCCTGGGAGCTGTGTGCTATTGGGGAAGCTGGGTGCTGTGGTAGAAAACTGGGATTCTAGGCTATGACAGAGGATTTAGAGCTGGCCAGACAAACCTGGGCTAGAGTCTTCATTTTACACTTTATTAGTGGTAGACTTTTCCTTGACATCACCACCAAACAGGGAGGCCTGTAGATGCTCCAGCTCCAGTGTGTAGAATTTTTTGATGTGCGGATGCTGTTGGATCACACACGGCCCCAGCATGCATCAGCACTTACCTTCACTCTGTTCCTCTTCTGTCTTCCAACTCTTGTCCTCTCTCATCAACATCATCCCACTTACCTGCTCTTTCTTTACCAGGTACAGAGGCGAATTCCTTTCCTATTCTAAACCTCTGCTTGGGTGACTTCTTGTCCTTTGAAGAGTCAGTGAATAAAACCCTCCCAGATAGGAGACGGGGAAATCAAAGGAGCCATGCATTTTTGCAAACCACAGCCAAGGGAGTTAAGCTGCAGACTGGACGTTCCAATTGGCTTGTGAGACCTTCTCGGATGGGACTCAGGCTTGCAGTCATCTGCAGAAAACTATAGGGGGCTAGAGATGCCCGTGGATGCATCCTACAAACATTGAGAAAGTATGGGGGTGGCAGAGAGTGCAGATGCAAAGAGAGGAAGCCAATCTCCCGACTTGTGGGAGAAGGGAGGGCATCATCAAGGCAGAGGAGCCCTCTGGACTTCTGGATACACAGATGGCTGCTCTGTTCATCTGCTCAGGAACATCCTTTTATAGAGCTGTCCAACCCCAGGATAATACCATAACCCTTTGCACCAATGCTGGGTTCCCTTCCCCAGTCTGTGCCTGATGGGGTCCTACATAGCACCCCTTGCACACATGCCCAGATCCAAACCACTAATTTCTACCTATGAAGCTTTCCCTGCCTGCCCTGTTGGAGATGGCTATTCCTGCTGAAGGAATAGAACTGACAACCCTTGATGTTTGCTCTATTGCTTGCTCCGGTACACAGCCTAACTCTTCCTACATCCTGTTCTTCCTGACTTAGTGTTCAGGACGGAGAAAATGAATTACCCATGGTGCCTAGTCAAATTCTAGGCAATGGGACCTGGAAGATTTTGGGCGATGTTGTGTAAAGGACAAAGGGCGGGCGCCAGGCCAGCATGTGGCAGTGGAGGGAAGCTGGAAAAGGACTGTGGGGAAGGTTGGTAAGGTGGGCCCATGACGGAGACCCAAATACAAAGCTCTCCTGGGTCACAGCCTTGCATAACCCCAAGCTGCTGGAAGTTCCTTTGCTTCAGTCACACCACTTAGCAGCACTTGTGTCCTTGGGGAATTGTCATTATTAACTCTGAGGCCAAGCCTATGGTATGGCAAAGTAGTTAATAGGTACTCAACATTTCAGTTTCTCCTAAACAAGAGAATTATTTTCTCTTGGAATAGGGCATAGATAATCAGGCTTTGGGGGCCTTGTGAAGAATGATACCCTAGGACATAGCCACCTGGTGTCCAATCTGGGAAGGAAGGGTGATTCTCTCTGGGCCTTTGGATGGACTGTGATCTTGGAACACACCCACTGTAGTGCAAGGCAAGGAAAAGTCCCTGGCTCACTAGTTGTGACCTCAGAGACGCGGTGGTTAAGACCATCTGCAGACTACTGTACAAAAGGCCCCAGCAGTCAAACAGCATAGTGTAGATCAAGCCATAGCACCATGTCTGCAGCCATA